TAAGCTTTTGTTTCAGATTTCCCACAACTATTCTTATTGCATGTAGTTATTGATCATGATTCCAAACACGTTTACAGGCCAGGCCCATACTCACTTCATTTACAAATACTTTTCCCAATGAATTTCTCGCGTGGGGTCGGTTCATTAGGATTTCAGCAATACCTTAGTAATAGGAGACAATTTCAGTTATACTTCATTTGATTCTTTGACACAGTAATTCAACTGGGAACAATATCTGCATATGCTGCATCTTCTCTTTCCTAAAAATGCATATAAAGTATATTCTAAAACAATCAGTTATTTTAAAAGGGAATGTGGTAGACCATGTCTATGAAACCCAGTTATGCAGGACAACCGTAGAATTCAGTAGCACTGAGAATAATATAAATAAGGAGACTTTTAAAAAAATGAACATGACATCCAAGAATATGCCTTAGAATCACTGCAGGAATGGAAAAAAAACCCTAACGATCCATCTTAGGTTTCTGTTTTGAATGTTACTTAACTCAGTTTTTATTGTACAGTCTTACTGTGTTCAAGTACATTCCTTAATGAAGAAACCCATCCTCCTGGGACTGCTGTTTGCATGAGAATAGCACAGACCAGTCACTCTCAGTTCATGTTCCAGAACCGTTCTGAAATTGCAGCTCCATTCAATTTAAAGTTAATTAGCTCATCAGTGGAAAGGACTTCACTCACAGTTCCAAAGTCCAAGCAGAACAATAAGACAACATCATCTACCTACTACTCCCTTACTCTTGCATTTTGTAAATTATTATCCAATGGTTTCTGTAGGCTTTGGAGAGAAAACACATCTCTCCTGTTTCCTGGCTGGGCTTCTGCTCACTTCCCCACACCTTAACGTTGTAAAACGCTGCTGCTGCAGGTGCGCAAATGCACCTTGCATCCATCATCCCTGGTCCCCCTGCCCTGCTGGAAGGTCTCTCTCTATTCCTCTGCCTTTGCCAGCGGCCGGGTAGTAAAGAAGAGCTGTGTCACAAATGAACAAAGACACAGGTAACAGCCAGAACCAGCAAAAAACAGAAATTCACAGTCCTGGTAACTACATTCACAGTCCTGGTAACTACACTCATGTATACGTAACTGGCAAAACTACCAGGAACTGGTTATGAGCTCGTGCAGCAGTTCCCTTTCCATTGGCCATCTGAACCCGAACTCAAATTGCTCAGCGACTCTCGTGTGTAATTCCGCAGGGATGTGCCCAGCCCCGTCCTGCCTTTAGCCCCGGGCATTACTGTCACCAGAAAAATCTAAGGTATGCAAACTACAGCTTCTCGTATTGAGCTCTCCTTCCTACATAACTTAAAAAAAAAAATATATATATATAAAAAGGCACCTAGCTGTTTACTTGGCAGCTGTGTTCTCGAAAAAGTAGTAATAATAATAAAAAAAAAGTATCAAGGCAAAACTTAAAGCAAAGAGACTACAAGCAACCTGCCTGCCCCGGGCTCTGCCAGGTCACCGGTCGCCTTTCGGGCGTGGGGGACACCGTGGCGGGGGGTGTCCGGTCGCCCCGGGACCCCCGTCCCGCACGGGGCAGGAGATGGTGTCCGGGGCAGCGCTGTGGGGACAGCTCGAGTGTGGCCGGGCCCGCCCGAGGGACAGCGAGGCCTGGCGGGGCGCAGGTCCGAGGAGGGGCCGAGAACCCCCCCC